AAGTAAAAAAAGATAGTTACTATGACGTCAATTTAATTAAAAAAATTATATATATATATGTGTGTGTGTAGAGAGAGAAAGAGTAGAAAGATAGTCATTGAAATGTAGATAATGGTTATCTCCAGATAGTATTCTGAGAGATTTTTCATTTCTATTTCATGCATTTCTTAGGTAGCCCAATGTCTCCCAGTCTTCTGGAGTCACTTATTCCTGTAAAAACCAAATGTCTTGAGTTCCTACCCCAGGTAACAGCAGGATCTATACTCTTTACCCATCCCTCCTTCTCCAGGGTAAACTTCTTCTTATATATCTGTTCACACATCAGTCCAATCTACAGTCTGTTTACTCAGTCCCTAGGTTCAACTCCTACAGCTGCTGTCTTCTTTCAGCACCTCTGCCTGGCATGTAGCCTTCATCCCTCCACCTTCATGACCAAAAACTACTACAAATACCAGGCTAGTGTGTGGTAAGTGACCTCCACTAAATTACTGGAGAGGAGGGAGGCATATGTCCACGCAGCATCTAATATGAAACAATTTAAAACAATACTAACATCTTAAAGAGAACCTTTACTGGCTGTCTTGTACCCTAGGACTCAGCCTACCACCATTTTGCCAGGTTGTGCTCCACAAGCCAAGAACTTCTCCTGTTCATTTAACCTTTCTTTTCCTGGTTCCTGGAATTTCTCCAGATTGCTCCCTGAAAATAATCTAAGTTCTTCTTTCTTTTTTGGTAAGGAAGATTGGCCCTGAGCTAACATCTGTTACCAATCCTCCTCTTTTTGCTTGAGGAAAATTGGCCCTGAGCTAACATTTGTGCCAATCTTCCTCTATTTGTATGTGGGTTGCCGCCACAGCGTGGCTTGATATGAGTGGTGGAGGTCCGCACCCATGAACCCTGGGCTGTGGAAGTGGCTCCTGCCAAGTTTAACCAATATGCCGCCGCTGGCTGGCCGCTAAGTTCTTTTTAAATGCAAAGCAATTTAATTCCCCATCCCAGATCATGCTCTGGACCCATCTTGCCTTTCATAAAAAGTTGCTGTTGGGGAACTTTTCTAAGCAAAAAAGCCGTGTATCCCTGATCTGCCTCTTCAGCTAAGCAAAGAGACAGCATAAGCAAAGTGATGATTTTCCCTTAATTGGAAATTTACTAATGATGTCTGGAATGGAAGAAAACTCAAATTCTTAGGTGTGCTAATTTCCAATCAGAGCAAGGTCTAGAGGTAATTTTTTTGTCTGTTACAGGTATTTTCCAAATGTTTTACAATGAGTATGTATTCTTTGATAAACTAGAATACAGCAAATATTATAAAAGTATTAAGTGCTGCTTATTGATGAATGACTCTAAAGTACTTTAAGTTTTTATTTCAGAAAATACTCTATATGTTAGCTCTGTTCCAGTCTAGCTCTTTGCCTTAAGCCCTCTCCCCTCACTCAATTTTCTGCCTTTTCATTTTCTTTTTTTCTCTTTGTTTGTTTGCATTTTACAGGGGTAAAAACAAAAAGCTCGTAAACGTAAAAGGGACAGGAAAAAGATACTGGTTCCAAGCTATAGAGAGATTACAACAAATTGAAACTCTGCTTGCTATAGATGAAAATTACACAAACGACTTTCTCAGTTGTGAATATTCATTTAAATGAAACCAAGCTGGAGTCAGAATTCAGAATATTGGATGTTACTTAGCATCTTCAGAAACGGGGATCTTATATATTGTAGTCATTAGAGTTTAAATGCATAAACATATCCATATTTTCAGATCTATGGGGGTGGCTTTATATATTATATTAAATTAAAACATTTTGGTAGAGCAGACAATGCATGCACATTCTGAAGTCTTAGAAAGAGAATTTGGCAGGTCTTGACTTACAAAATTCACTACCTAGACTAGATCTGTAATAAAATAGTGTGTTAAGACTGAAATTATATTTTTGGAAATTTTCTGATAAGATATGAAAGTGATAAAAGCCTCAAATTCAAATAATTTATTTGAACTTTTATTAAAGTTTTATTAAATGTAAACAAACTATTTATCATTTAGACTTTTGGTTCTTCAACTGGATAACACTGCCACCTTGTGGCAAAGACTGATTATTGAAGGTTTTGTTTAAATGCTAAAAAAACCCTCTATTTTTTCCCTGATGGTGTATTAGCTACAGTGGGGAGAGATTTACATGGCTGATGGAGGCAATTTCATTCTGTGCTTCTAAGATGAGACAAGTTGCGTTAATGTGAGAAAGAATATGCATTTTGGTGTATCCTCTTAAAATCACAATCACATAATGTTCAAACCCAACATTCTTTAAAAAGAAAAGCACAAACTAATGCTGAATGGCCTTCAAGTGATATAAATTTTCATGAACCAAAATAAAAAAGAAACTTGTTAACAGTTCTAGATCACTAAACTGTAATTTCTAATTTTACCCCTTTAAAGCATCAACCAGAAACCTAACACATGCGTCCTCCTCTAAAAAAGTAAAAAACAAACGTCATCCATCCCCACAATAAGTTATGCATATGGTTTTATTTGGAAAGCAAACATCAAAATTCATTCACCTTTTTCCTGGCATTTCAGAAAAACCAAAATGATAACTGAGTTTTCCTTATTTTGTCTCTACTTTTAGTTGTGTGACCTAAATCAAGTTACCTAACCTTTCTGAATCTCAATATCTTTACCTGAGAAAAGGGCATAATAATATCATCTACCTCACTGGTAGTTTGATTGTTGTGGGGATTAAATGAGTTAATACAAGTAATTTGTTCCTTAGAACCATGCCTGAAACCACGGGAAACATTCATGAAATTTTAGCTCTATTATTACAAGTGTATCAAGATAAAAAATGTACCTACATCTAATTTGTGTTAGTTTTGGTATAGTTCTGTGATGTGGCTTGATTTGCTTGTCATGCTAAGAAGGTGGGCTCTCTAGGTTCCATTTATAGCCAGTATATGCTGAATGGTGATTGTGCTCTATACTTTTATTTGAACCCTTCTGTCTATGGGATGGGCCTTAGGCTCTGTCCCCATTCTGGCATGTGTTAGACTTGGGAAAATTAATTAATGTTTCTAAGTTCCAGTTTCTTTATTGATAAAATGGGGAACAACAGTACATATCTCACAGGGTTGCTTCAATGGTTAAATGAAATAATGCATATATAAAGCCCTTAGCACAATGTGAGACTCAGAACAGCCTCAACCAAGGTTCTCTGGTACATTTAAAAAGTAAGAGACTCTCCATCTACAATAATATTTATATTGGTTACAGAATATACATTGTTGAGGAAATGAGCCAACAGATACAATGATGGGAGAAGGAATTCTGCAAGGCAGGATAGAGTGAAAGGACAATATACCTCATCTCACAGATATGGGGGTGGGGAATAAGTATAATGTGTGTAAAAGGCAGGAGAGTATGATAGTAAAAGGCTTGGAAATGGAGTTGGATAAACCTGGGTCTGAATTCAGGCACTTCACCAACTGTTGGGGCCTTGGTTAGGTTATCAAATCTTTTGAACCAGTTTCCTCAGAATTGGGGTTAATAAGGTTGCTATGGGATTGAATGAGAAAATGTAAAGTGCTTCCCACTGAGCCTAGGTCATAAAATAACTCAATGAATAGTAACCACAGTTATTCTTAATTATTTGTAAAGAAATATTTTCTGCACAAGGTCCTTGAGCACCTCATTAGGACAACCCTTTTAAGCATTCTAGTTTCTATGCCTACAGAAAAGAGGTAGTAAGTTGAAGTCAGGACAGAAATAGGAAGTGAATTAGTTCAGGACTGGGGCATGGGGAAGAAAGGGTTAGGGCAAGTATCTTTGAATTGGTTGGTTAAAACAGCATGCACTCTTAGGGTGACTGCCAAGCATAAGCCCTGAGACTCCGTCCAGCTTCTTGCTTCATCTTCTTAAGCTCTTGGAGAGGAGGAAACAGAGCTGTGGTGAAGTGGGCCCTGCTTTGCCCCTCCTTCACCACATGGGGGAGCACGTAGGCGCGTAGATACGGGCATTGTGACCTCATCACTATGACGCAGTGACTGTGCAAGGGGGTTAGACGGTAACAGTCCTCCGGGGTCATTTTATTTTTCCCCTCACTCAGGGCTTGTTGATGGGGAAGGGCCAGATGACAACCTGAAACAGCCAAGTCTACAGCTGTGATTGCTGGTGAGGTCAACTCCAGCAAATCGGAGGCATCAATAATCTTCTTCCGGTAGCCCTCCTTTATTTCTCCCATTCTCATCTTGATATAGGTCTACCTTGAAGTACGAATCGAGTTGAGAAAAACCAGAAACATCCTATAGCCTCCTGCCACAGCACTGTAGTCAAGGGCTCCTGTTCCATCGAGAGACTTAGTCATTGGTCAACCAGTTCTCAGCCAACCATTCTGAAGTCAACCAGTCCTCAAAACAACCAGGCACGAATCAACTGGGCATGAACCAATCAAGCTTACCACGTATGAATCAACCAGGCACCAGCCAGCCAGGCACAAGTTTACTTGGTATGAACCAACTGGACATGAACCAACCAAGCACAAGCCTACCCAACACCCACCAACTGGGCATGAAACAACCGGGCATGAGCCAATCAGGAATGAGGCAACCAGGTATGAACCAATTAGGCCTGAGCCAACCAGGCCCAAGCCAATCAGTCCTCTGGCAACAAGTCATGTGCCAATCATGCATGAACCTGTCAAGAAAGAGTCAACAGCAACCATGCCCGAGTCAAGCCGGCACAAGTCAACCAGGTAGGAAGCAACCAGGCCCCAACTACTCAGGCCTGAGTGATCCAGGCATGAGGCAACCATGCCCAAGCCAACCCAGCACAAGCCAACGAGGCATGAGGCAACCAGTCCCGAGCCAACCCAGCACAAGTCAATCAAGCGTGAGTCAACTATGCCTGAGTCCACTAGACTGGAGCCAATCAAGCACGAGTCAAACAGGCCAAAGCCAAATCAAGCATGAGTCAACTAGGCCTGAGTTCACTAGAGTGTGCCAATCAGCATGAGTCAGCCAGGCTCAAGCCAATCAGGCCTGAGTCAACAAGGCCCAAGCCAATCAGGCACAAGGCAAACAAGCAGGAGCCAACCAGGCCTGAGCCAACCAGGCCTGAGCCAACCAGGTCCGAGCCAACCAGGTCCGAGCCAAGCAGGCGCGAGGCTATCAGCCTCCCGGGAACCAGGCATGAATTCTTTCCGAATAAGACCTGCGGAGGCTCGAGACTGCCCAGAAATCCTGCGCCTAATTAAAGTAAGCTTTTTTCTCCTTATTCCGTGGCGCTTCGTGGTATTAGTTCAGGGCTGAGGGTAAGGAAGGCATAGGCTGGGTGTGAATCTTACCTCTGCTAATTATGACCCATGTACGCGACTTTCTGGAAGTTACTTAACCTCTCTAAACTTCAACTTCTACATCTAAGATCAAGATCATAGTACTATCAATATCCAAAGGTGGTTGTAATGATTCATTAACATAAAATGATTACACATAAATTGCTTGACTTATAGTAGGGCTCAAAAAGTCATAGGGGAAATAATTCATGGAAATTTCAGGGGCTTAATGTGTTGTCTCTCCTGGGGAAATTTTGACTTTAAAAGAGGATCTTTGAAAAAAGGAATGCTGTGATACAAATGACCTGTGATAGAATTTTAGGTATTGATAGCTAAGATTTTAGAGTACGGAATCTTGTAGCTTTTAAGACCACACTCACTTGTAGAAGCTAATGACTGACTACCCAGCAAACAATATTCATCCACAACAAATTTTCCGTACAGTTCTTTGACTTCTGAAGTCCATCCACAGACAGCCTCGAGGAGTCCAAGGAGCTGGATTCAAAATTTCTGATTTAAAAGTTCATTTGAATGGTTTTATTGGAAAGTAAAGGGAGCAAAGTAACAGCCGTAGTTCCTGTGATAGAGTTCTGTGGCACTCAAGGCAATCATTTATGTGATGCACAGCCTAAAGAATTCTATAGAAAAGCCAATATGAAAGCAGTAGCCTAGATTTTTAATGGAGTAAATATGTGGCTGGAACAAGGCACAGGTTATAGATAAGGAAACCTTATAAAAGAGTTTTGTAATGAAAATGTTGACATCTACTTATATATATAAATCTCGTTTAAATCAGGCCAAGTTTCTGTTCCCTTTGATTAGAGAATGTGTCTTAATGGCCAAAATAAAATAACAAAAAGTTTTCTAGTTTTCAACATATCCATCTGTTGAAATGATGCAAAGCCCCATTACAGATCTGTAAGAACTGGGTCTCTATCCTTCCATGCCTTTTATTCTATTCTATCCCTACAAGTTCCCACATCATTTCTCTAACTGGCATTAATTTGCATGATTAGATCATCAATCAGAATACTATGCCCAACATGTTAACTATTCCAGAAGTACATTTTTCCAGGTAAAAAATAATTTTAAAGTTTTTTGTAGCATAGTATCTGACACCCGGTTGGAAATTAATACATTTATTATTGAATGAGAGTGAGTCTCTCTATTTCGAAAATTTACTTTCCTTAGCTTTCCAAACAGTGCCCATTACTATCACCAAGGAAAAAATATATCACTAGACCCTCCCACTTCCGTGAACCTGTATCTGTACAGTTCCCGACCATATTTACTTCCCAATCTGCCTCATGTACCTGAATATACACTAGGAGTTTTCTGGGAATAATTTTAATGAATATTCACGGTAGAAAAATAATAGGAAAGCTAAATTACCTACTATGCATCATAGACATGAATGTAATGATTAATTAGCTTTGAGCTTTATGTTTTTCTCTAATATGCATATGTCCATTTGTCTTTACTTCTGTTCATTGCTAAGTTTGCAAAGCATTCTCTTTTTGCAAAGAAATTTTTGAGAGTTTGCCATCATAGTAATTTATTGCTTAGCTGAGTACTTTGCAGGTTTTATTTACTGTCCTGCCTCTAAAATTCTTTCAATATCCTCTGTACGCACCTGTTTCATCCTATTCTTAATCACCACATCACAGCATTATTGGGGATCTAGTTATTTCATAGCTAGGCAGTCATAACTTCTTGTTTACCAGACTTTCCATTCAAGGCCTTTTATCATGGTGGTTCTCAAAGTGTGGTTTTTGGACCATTGGTGATCCACGGATAAGAGCTGTGTACTACTACTATCTGATTTTTGTTCATTATACAAACATTGAGTGCATATTAGAGGAAAGGCACGTGATAAGTACTATAAAGGATACAAGGCTTACTGAATTATAGTCAGTGCCATCAAGCAGCTTACAAAGTCATAGGGGAGGTACTCCACACAGCAGCCCAAATGCTCAAAGCTCCATTGGGTTATGGTTACATTGAGAATAAAATTCAAATTTCTTACCACCACTCTACAAAATCTGGCCCTTGCTATCTTCTTTAAATATATTAAAAGCCTTTTTTCATTATAAATTTAATGCAATTCCAGTCAAAATCCCCAAACTTTTATGTGGAAGAATAAACATGTGAGTATTTCTAGAAAAATTCCAAAAGGAAGAATAATGAGGGGAGATGATCCCTACCAGATGTTATAAAGCTGCAAGTAATTAAAATATTGTGGTAATCTATTACCATAGATGCAGAGATGGATCAATGGAACAGAATGGAGAATCCAGAAGTTCTCTTAAACATATATGAGAATGTAGTATATGATAAATTGGACATTTCAAATCAGTTAATAAAAGATGAGTTATTCAATAAATGGTGTAGGGACAATTGGGGGAGAAAGATAAAGGTGAAATTCCACCTCACTTCTTACATCAAAACAAATCAATCAATTATTAAGATTGAGAACTTAAAATAGATTGGTGGTTGCCAGAGGTGGCAGGTGGGGGGGGGGGGGGGGAAAATGGGTGAAGGTGATAAAAAGGTAAAAACTTCCAGTTATAAAATAAATAAGTTCTGGGATGTAATTAACGTATAGCATAGTGACTATAGTTAACAATACGGTAATGTATATTTGAAAGTTGCTAAGAAAGTAGATCTTAAAATTTTCATCGCAAGAAAAAAATTTACAACTTTGTGAGATGATGATGTTAACTAAACTTACTGTGGTAATCATTTCACAATATATACATATATCTAATCATATGTTGTACACCTTGAACTAATACAATTTCAAATTATATCTCAATAAAACTTGAAAAAATAAAGTTAATAAAAAGAAATTAAGAAGAGAACAAGAGTGATTATTTTTATAATCTGAAAGTGGGGAATGCCTTTCCAAGCATGAGATCCAAACCATGAAGACTTAATTTGAATGTGTAAAAAAATCATACATTAAAAAGCCAAATAAACAAAGTCTAAAGTTAACTGGGAAAAACACCTCACAGGCATACATGACAGACTTTTCTGTACAGTTTGTGAGCTTTTTTTTTTTTACATAGACTTTGTGACATCTACCTTGAATGCTCAGAAACTCTTCGGGCTTTACTTCCTCATTTCTGGTTGTATTTATTCAAGGCTAGTTAACCTAGACAATTGAGCTTCATAGAGTGAGGTATAGACGGAGTTAATCCTCTCTCTACATATTCTGTTGTTGCATGTACTGTTTTAGATTTTAATTTTCTAGATGACTGGGGTTAAGTCTGACTCACTTTTATTACTGCCCGGGACATCATGTTAATAAATGCTCAATAAAACCTTCATGATTATCATCTCAAGAATTTCTTACTAAAGCAAAAACTGAAAGTTGTCTCTAATTGACAGGAATTGGCTGCCTGTGAAAACATGCTAGATGCAGTGAAGTTAACAGCAATGGGTAAGATATTTTACGGTATTTTCAGAGCTAGAAAAAGAAACATGACATCACATAGTGGTGCACACAATACTACTTGTACCTAGATATGTGGAAGCTGCTATCCTTGGTACACAAAGATGATGCCATTAATAGTATCTACATCTATAGGACATAAGTTTGATAGCTTTGTCAGTGCTCCACTATTTTATATTTTCTCCACTTTTTAGTATGAAATTGATAGAGCTTTTACATCTTTACAGCTGCAATAGACTTCAACTAATTTTCGAATTGTAGAATGAGATGTGTAATTGGTCAAAGTATAATTTAACGCCGAATATGTTGGTAGTAGCTTGATAGGATGAAATGGATAAAAGCAAAATGACTCACCTATTTTCAAGATATTTACCAGCAATATTAATAGGATAGGTTTTATGATGAATTAGAACTACTGTTTTATGGTGAATTAGAACATTTTAAGCAGAAAATATGAAAATTAAGAGAAGAGATGATTAAAGTTAGAATTCGAAATAAATTACTTGGAATTCCAAATAAATTTGAGGATCAGCTTTACCATTTCTGTGAAAAGGGATGTTGGAACTTTGATAGGGACTACATTGAATCTTTGGATCACTTTGGGTAGTACTGACATCTTAACAATGTTAAGTCTTATGTATTAACACATGATGTCTTTTAATTTATTTAGGTCTTCTTTAATGTCTTTCAGCAATGTTTTATAGTTTTCAGTATGCAAGTATTTCACCTCCTTGGTTAGACTTATTACAAGGTATTTATTTTAGGGGTTATTGTAAATGGAATTGCTTTCTTAACTTACTTTTTGGTTTGTTCTTTGCTGGTATATAGAAACAAAACTGATTTTTGTTTGTTGATCTTGTAGCCTGCAACTTTGCTGACTTCATTTATTAGCCATAGTAGCTTTCTTTTGGATTCTTTGGGATTTTCTGTCAATAGGATCATGTCATCTGTGAATACAGATCATTTTATGTCTTTGTCTCTAATTTGGATGGCTTTTGTTTCCTTTTCTTGTTTAATAGCTCTGGCTGTAACTTGCAGTACAATGCTGAATAACAGTGATGAAATTCGGCATCCTTGTCTTGTTCTTAATCTTAGGGGAAATGCTTAGTCATTTACCATCGAGTATGAAGTTAACTTTTTTTTATAAGTACCCTTTATCATGTTGAGAAATTTCCTTCTGTTCCTAGTTTTCTAAGGGCTTTTGTCATGAAAAGGTGTTACATTTTGTTAAACGCCTTTTCTGCATCAATTGAGATGATCATGTGGTTTTTTCCCTTTGTTCTGCTAACGTAAAGTATTATACTGATTAATTTTCTTATGTTGAGGCATCCTTTCATTCATAGATAAATCAAACTTGGTCATGGTGAATGATCCTTTTAATATGCTGTTGAGTTCAATTTGCTAATCTTTTGTTGAGAATTTTTACATCTATATTAATAAAGGATATAATTTTCTTTTCTTTTGATGTCTTTGGTGTCAGAGTAATGCTGACTTCATAGAATGAGTTACAAAATGTTTCTTCTCTTCAGTTTTTTTGGAAGAGTTTGAGAAGGATTGGTGTTAATTCTTCTTTAAAAGTTTGACAGAATTTACCAATTGGTGGTCTCTGACTTTTCTTTTTGGGGAGATTTTTGATTACTGATTCAAAGTCTTTACTTGTTAGAGGTCTGCTGAGATTTTATTTCTTCTTGAATCAGTTTAGGTAATTTGTAAGTTTCAAGAAATTTGTTCATTTCTTCTAGGTTATCTAATTTATTGGTGTACAACTCATAGTACTTACCTATAATCTTAATTTTATCTCTGTAAGGTCAGTAGTAGTACTGTTTCATTTCTGATTTTAATTACTTGGATCTTCTCTTTTTTTTTTGCTTTGCCAGTCTGGCTGCCAATTTGTTGATCTTTTCAAAGAACCAACTTTTGGTCTCATTGATTTTCTCTATTGTATTTCTATGCTCTTTTTTTGTTTATTTCTGCCCTAATCTTTATTACCTTCCTTCTGCTAGCTTTGGACTTAGTTTGCTCCTTTTTGTAGTTCCTTAAAGTGTGAGGTTAGGTTATTTTGAGGTCTTTTTTTCTTTTTTTTAATGTAGGCATTTAAGGCTATAAGTTTCCCTCTGAGCACTGCTTTCACTGCATCCCGTAAGTTTCGTATGTTGTGTTTTCATTTTCATTCATCTCAGTTTTCTAATTTCCCTTGTGGTTTCTTCTTTGGCCTATTGGTTGTTTGAGTCTGTTGTTTAATTTCCACATATTTGTGAATTTCCTAGTTTCCTTCTGCTGTTGATTTCTAGGTTTATTGTGATTGGAGAAGATACTTTGTATGATTTCAGTCTTTCAAAATTTATTAAGACTTGTTTTGTGGCTTATCATATAGGCTATCCTAGAGAAAATTCGACGTGCACTTGAGAAAAAAATGTGTATTATGTTGTTGGGTGGAGTGTACTGTATATTTCTGTTAGGTTCAATTGATATGTAGTGTTGTTCATGTAATCTATTCTTATTTATCTTCTATCTAGTTGTTTAATACGTTATTGAAATTGAGGTATTGAAGTTCCTACTATTATTGTAGAGCTGTCTCTTTCTATCTTCAGTTCTATCAATATTTGCTTCATATATTTTGGAGCTCTGATGTTTGGTGAATAAATGTTTATAAACGTTTTATCTTCTTGGTGAATTGACCCTTTATAATTATATAATATCCTTCTTTGTCTCTTATAAGAGTTTTTGACTTAAAGTCTATTTTGTCTGATATTAGTACAGCCACTCCATCTCTCTTTTGGTTACTATTTGCATGAAATATCATTTCCCATCATTTCCCATACTATCAACTTTTATGTGTGTTTTTTTAATCTAAAGTGAGTCTCTTACAGACAGCATGTAGTTGGACCATGTTTTTTTTTTAATACATTCTGTTAATCTCTCTTTTGATTAGAGCATTTAAATTACTTTACATGTAAAAATGTAAAGTAATTAGTCATAAGGATGGACTTCTGCCATTTTTCTATTTGTTTTCTATGTGCCATATAGCTTGTTTGTCCCTCATTTCCTCCATTGCTACCATCTTTTATGTTTATTTTTGTAGTGAAATGTTTTGATTCTCTCCTCATTTCCTTATGTGTGTATTTCATGGATATTTTCTTTGTGGTTATCATGGGGATTACATTTAACATCCTAGTTATAACAATTTAATTTGAATTTATAGCAGCTTAACTTCAATAGCATACAAAAACTCTTCTCCTACACATCTCCATTCCCCCCTTCTATGTTACTGGTGTCATAGATTATATCTTTATACATTGTGTAAATAAGGAGTCTACTGGAGGAATCTGGGAGTTCAAAGTGTAATGGCTTTTTCTTGGCTGACTTGTGACAGTCTCTCATTGGCTGAGCTTCTTGCTAATTAAGAAGTCGTCTTTCTTCTTCCTGTTGGGCTCTGCACTTGATCTAGGGCATGAGAGCTCCCCCATTTGGCTTCCTGACTCCATTTTAATATGGTTTCTGTTTGTTAATTCTCACATTTCCCCTTCTGATTGAGATCTTTAAAAGCATAGCTAATCAAGAGTCATTTTTTTTTTTTCCAGTTCTAGCAGCCTTTTGTCCCTTGATGCCAGGAAGGACATTTCCTGAGCATCATGTCCCACATTGGAGAGAAAGTGCATGGATTAGAAACCTAATGTGGCCACATCGAGTACTAAGGAGGCATAGAATAGGAGAACTCTTTCTTTTCTAAAGTCCATATGTAATCAAGATCATAGGCATTAGAGATCGTCCGAAGAGTTACATCATCATCAAAGATTTGGCAGACAACCTTCCAACAGGCCTGGTCCGAACATCTTGGGAAAGCTGTCTCATCAGGTGTCGTCTGCTTCAATTCTGGGAAATCTTTACTTTTAAGGCACCAGATGATGTGCAGGTCCAGTCAGGGTTTCATGCTATTTTTAGGTATGTCACATGAATCCAAGAGATTATTCCCTTGAGTTTTGCGGCACAAGGGTTGATTAATAGTATCTGATAGAGGGCCTTTCTGGTGAGGTTAATAGTATCTGATAGCGGCCTTTCCAGCAAGGTTAAACAGAGTCCTTCTGGAGGTGTCTTTTCCAATAGGTGAAATCTCCAGGTTGCAAGGTGTGATGCTTAAAAGTCTTTATCTCCCTGGAGCACACTGTGAAAGACTACTCCACCAAAACATGGTTATTGTTTATAGAAGCAATTAGGCCATTGCAATATTGGAGTATATCTCCTTTTATCAGCTGTGAGTCCAAAGAGGCAGGAGCCAAGAATATTGGTGTCCTGTGACAATCTCAAAGGGTGAGTTTTATGAGTTCCAAAAAGGGTGGATCTGAGATTAAGAATGACCAACAGGAATGCTTTTGGCCAAGGTAACTGCAGGGTCTCTACAAACTTTGCCAAGCGAGTCTTAATAATGCTGTTAGTGTGTTCAACTAAACCAGAGGATTGAAGGTGGTGAGTGCAGTGAAAGTATTGTAAAACCAGCCAAATAGTGCAGACTTGCTGAAGTACCTGACCAGTAAAATGGGCTCCTCGATCATTATGAAGTTCAAGAGGAGTTCTCCAAGAAGGGATAATCTTTTCCAAGGACTTTAGCCACAGAAGAGGTAGTGGCCTGTCTGCAAGGGAAGGCTTCAGTCCAGTCAGAAAACACACAGGCCATGACTAAAACATATTTATCTCTATGAGATGGGGGAATGGTATCAAACCCATTTGCCAAACCAAGAGTGGTTCATCAGGAAGTTTAAAATATCCAGGAGCAGTTCAAACAGGCTTCTCTTGGCTGTATTTTGGAAAAGTGGGACAAGTGAGGTAGGTACTTTTTATGGTCTTGTTAATATTCCGTCACCAATGTTGATTCATGAATGCTATCATTTTGTCAGTAGACCAGTGGTTTAATGCATGTGCAGTGGTTAGGAGTGGAAATTTTAGAGTCTCTGGTAGGACTGAGTTATATGGTCTGAAGCAGAGCTTTCTCT